TATGTTCGATAATTTCGCACGCTTGGATATAAGCATCATAGTCAAGCGGCCAAGGCGCAAGATTGAATAAGTGTCCGGGTTCGAATTCCGGTCGGATACAAAGATACAATTTTTTTTGTTTTTTTTTTTGTATTTATTCAAGTTTTTTGTTTTTTTTTTAAAAGAAAATTGTACTTTTGACCAAAAACTCGGAGCGAAGCTCGGTGGCCCAGGTATTTTTAGAAAATGTCGTTTTATTCGTGTTTTCAATAATCAACTTTATCGATAGTCAACTAAAATATAAACTTATTTTTTGTATTGGAAAAAATAATAAAAAGGTGGCGTTTGGGTAGTCCTAATGTTGCCACTTAAACATAAACTAAAAAATGACTCTTTCTGACATCTAATGGCGAATAATAATACTATTTTTTTTAATTGTAATCTGAATCTCGGAAACGGCTCCAACGATTTTATGTTATTTAGTATACGGGGAATTTCGGGGGCGATAAATCGATCTAGATTAGTCTTATGTCTGAGAAAATGCGTGTTTTCGAGTTTTCATGCAGTTTTCTTTTGCTATTCCACGCAAAATATGGTCGGTAATTTGCACGCTCGGGTATAAACATCGTGTTCAAGCAGCCAAGGTGCAAGATCAACAATCACAGGTGTCCATATTATATATATATATATATATATATATATATATGTATATATATACAAGAATTGCTAGTTTAAATATATAAGATATAACTTTGAACCTATAATTTTATAGTGTTTATAGAAAACTAACAATCATATATTGTTACAGCATCCATTATCGGCATCGCGGGAATTCCTGGCTTTGTGGCATCTTCTCTTCTCATGGACATCTATGGACGAAAGTTGGCTCACGCAGTGGTCGTGGTGCCAGCCATAATTAGCTGGTTTCTTGTATACAGCGCTACTAATGTTCCCGTACTTTTGATTGGCCGGGCTTTTGGTGGCATGTCTGCCGGGGCCACGGTGTCCTTAGGTGCTATTGTCATAGGAGAGTACACGAGCCCTAGAAATAGGGGAATGTTCTTGAATCTCAAAACTACTGCGGTATGCATTGGGAATATGACCGTGCATATTTTTGGCCACTTTTACACTTGGGAAACTGTAGCTCTGATAGCCGTTATACCTCACATAGCTGCCTTATTAATCATATGTACTTGGCCAGAAAGTCCATCTTGGTTGGTTGCACAAAAACGATTCGAAGAGAGCAAAAAGTCCTTCTACTGGCTACGAGGACAATCCGAAGAGGCAACTTTAGAAATAGAAGAGCTCATAAGAGCTCAAAAAGAAAAAGTCGAATATTCGGTGTCGTCATCTTCAATATTTTCAATGTTTGTAGGATTTCTAAAGAAATTTACAAAAAGAGACTTTTTAAAACCGTTACTTATAATCGTTTTCTGTGGACTTCTTTTGGAATCCTGTGGAAGGCATATATTCCCAGCTTACGCTATTCAGATCATCGAAGAGGTCACCGGCAACAAAACCCAATCTTTTTATTACACTTTGGGTATAGATTTGATAATAACTGCGAGTGCATTATTTTCATCTGTTCTTGTTAAACTGATGAAAAGGAGAACCCTTCTTTTAAGCACCGGTTTTGCAGCATTATTTGTTTTAATGTGTGTATGTTTGTATCTGTACTTATCATCAGCGTCTATTATTTCAAAGGATTACACATGGATACCGATTGGCTTGTTTGCTATTTACTTTATTTTAGCTAACTTGGGATGTACTCCAATACCATTAGCTTTGCTGGGAGAAGTTTTCCCTCTTGCTCATAGAGGAGCTGGAGCTACTGCGGGAGGTTTTCTATTGTCAATTTACGTGATGGCTGGTATGCAAGTTACACCGTTTTTATTAGTTAGCCTAAAAGTATACGGAACGTTTGCTGTTTTTGGGTCACTAATGGGAGTGGCTCTAGTTGCTTTGTATTTCATTCTCCCAGAGACAAAAGATAAAACTTTACAACAGATTGAAGATTACTTCAACTTTGGAAGATTTAAAGAAGATAGAGTTGACAGAGACGAAGAAGCTAAGATGCAAATGATGCCTAAATAATTGATTTGTGATAATATGTTTTTGATTGCCTTGTAGAATAAGATATTTTATAATAGTTTCGAATATGAATATAGAAATAAGGGTAATTGTTAATAATAAAAGTATTTTTATATATTTATTCTTTAAAATTATACGAAGATATGTTTATTTGCCTACTTAGAATTTATATAACCTTTAAATGAAAAACTAATTTATAAAGACCTAAAGTCCGTGGCTGTGCCGTATGATAAACAGAGTACGATTAGCCTAACATAAGTACATAAGGTAGCCTATGTTCGTTTTAGGATCTTCTTCTTCTCCCTGCCCATTTCCCAATCAGTTGGGGTCGGCGCATTACATCTTCTTTACTGCTGATAGGATTTGGCAAAAGTTTTACGACCAGCCGCCTGCCTAACGTCAACCCTCCTTGGGAATGTTCGTTTCAGGATATAATCTATGTAATTGCCAAATTTCATCAAAATCTATTTAGCGGTTTAAGTGGGAAAATTTTACAAACAGACAGTTTTTTAGATAGAGGATGTGGTCTCTGTGAAACAGTGATGAGTAAGTAAATAGTAGGGAATAGTAGGGAATAGTAATAAATACCTACAATAAATCGAAAATCTAAGTGATTTATTAACATCCAATCACCATATTAAGCATATATTAGCTTGATTGAAAATGGCATAGGCCTTGAAAAAATATATAAAACGTAGATTTGTAATCAACGCGTAAACGTAATAAATGAAATTGTTATCTCTATAATAACTAATTATATATTAAATATCGTATATTACTAGCGACTCACCCTCGCTATCCTCATGTTCGTCCCTAGTAAAAAACAAAACAAATTTATCCCACGGGAACCGTACATTTTCCCGGAATTAATCTATCTGCGTGCCAAATTTCCCCCAAATCTGTTTAGCCGATTTATGAAACGAACTTTAAAATCGATGTATTAATAAAAAATCCCTAACTAAAAACAGTAATTAAACCTTCTAGAATCTAGACATAAGAATTAAGAACTATGTAGTAAACAAAGATAACCTACGAAAGACTAACAGTGCAATAAGAAAAGGTTTTTGGATTCAGCAATCACAAACCTACAATATTTTAACAGACTTTCGAGTACAAAATCGAAATTATAGGTATATTGATATTGTCATACATTTTCTATGATCTTTTGTACAGGGTCATTTTTAATTTACTGAAGACCTTTTGGGAATATACTATTTACATCATAATAACAACATCCGTAACAAAAAAAATATTTCTTAAATTTTTATTTTCATACAAAAATGAAAATATTTTATTGCATCTGGTTAAGTTTAAATGAATAAGAGCCGCTTCCTACACCCCTCCACACCTCCCCCTCCACACCTCCCCTCCACCGGCCACGCGGTTTCTTTTGCTAATGCTGGGCTATTACCGTTTAGAAGGTGCAATAAAAATATTGTTATTTTTGTAAAATTTGAAATTTTTTTTATAGGCGTTGTTTGTGTGTATGTTATTTTTTTTTCAATTTTTTATATTAATAATTGAATATTGAGTATCATTATAATTGTGAATTTATAGAAGGAACTTCCGGCCGTTAGAATCAGATAAATATTTATTATTGATTCATTTCATAATATTATTATATAAAACTAAGATTAAACTACGCCTTGATATTATCTAAGCAAACATCATAATATTATTATTTCTTAACAGGAAAATACCACACAAGAGTATAATTTTCTATTGATATTACTTAAGTAATAAGAGTAATTTTTTTGAATATACATACATCACTTACTATTGTGAAACTTTTTCAAACCTTGTGGCACACTTTAGTGATGATAATTGTTTGAGAAACCTGAAATTATAATAAATTCTTTATTTATAATATTTGACTGATGACTTCAATGAACCCCAAATAAAATATTAGAAAGTTCATTCACGAATAATAATTAATCTATAATACACGTACCGGCAAAATTAGAGAAACACAAAACCTGTGGGTAATTTGAAAGGTGCTTCAGTTATTTAAAATATTACTTCTTAGTGGTAACATTATGAAACTTTTTGACCTTTTATAACCTCTTAACAGAAATTATACCCTCTCAAGTGTTTTTTTGCAATCTACGCTTATTAGTGTTTTTGATAATAAAGTTCGTTTATGCAGACAAGTGTGACCCTAGCTCATTTTGTTTGGTTTGCTTGGAGATTTAACATTGTATTGTATACAAAATAAGTGATTTGCCTGCAACTGAAGTCGTCAGGGCTGTCATAACGATTGAGGAAGGTCACATCTACCGTTCAGTCAGTCGAACGCTGCGTGTATCAGTATCGGTGATCTACTGCAATATCCGACGATACCGACAGACGGGAGGTGAGGACAAGGCAAAAATCGAGCAACCAGTGCCGTAGACGACCTTATTATACCAGAGCAAATTTTGAGAAATCGTCGTCAAATGGCTGTTCAGACTTGTAATAACTTGGAAAAAGTGGGTAACGTAGGTGCTAGTGAACGAACAGTGAGAAAAAGGTTGAATCAAGTTGGTTTTAAGTCATTCGTACCAGCGAAAGCGCTGAAACTTGAAGTAAGTCATCGTGTAGCAAGATTAGCATTCGCACGTCCGAATGGTCGAGTTTTATTCACTAACGAAAGCCGTTTTTGTGTGAATTTCATTGAAGGAAGGAAAAGAATATGGAAGTTTCAAGGAGGACATTACTAGCAAGCACATTTTTTCCGAAACGGTGAAATAAAACTCGACTAGAATAAATACCTAATCAGATATTTTCGAAGTCTAAAAAAGTATAAGATAACCTTATTTGTTATCGACTTATAGGTAACCTACAATCTTGCCCTACTTTATTTAATATAAAATAAAAGTTTAGGTCAACTTGTATTATTCACAATGTAACGTTTGAAGGGTTTTGGGCTAAAGATATAAAGTATCATAAAAATGGTATGTAAAATGTGTTTGAATTTCTGATACTAAGCGATTGGTCTGTTTTTCAATACTTATAAGTATTTTTTGATTATATTTATTGTTTTTTCTGTAGGAAAACAAACGAGAAGATGGAAATAGAAAACTTTTGCCGCTTATGGAATTTAAGAGAACACTCGTAGACAATGTTTTGTCCACATATAAGAAATCTGAACATAATATACTTCAGGTAAGCAATAACGTATAGAAAAATGATTTTTATCAGATATGTTTTATTTATCTATACTAATATTATAAAGAGGTATAGTTTATGAGTTTGTGAATTTGTGAGCTTGTGACGTTGTAGGGGATAATCTCTGGATCTACTGAACCGATTTAGATCAAATTTGGTAAGAAAATAGTGTGAGACCCTGGGAAGGACATAGGATATTTTTTATCCCGGAAATAATCCCTTAAGGGGGTGAAAGTTTGTATGGGGAAGCAACCTAGCTTGCTATATGCTATGTTGCGTAGTTTCGGAGCTTATTCGGTACAATCAAACAAACAAAAAAAAACTATCCCCTTTATAATATTAGTATTATAGATTTCACGTGAAGAAAGGACATGAAATAGAAAACACTATGAACTATCCACATAAAAGGTACCCGTCAAGTGTCCATTTATACGCACATGATATTATTGTGCGTACTGCTGAACGTTTGGATAAAAGGATACAGTTTTTTGCTTAATGACCTACATATATCCCCAGAAAATTTTTAGTATTTTGATCAATTCGGCATAAAAAGCGCTTCTTGATTGCTTTGTCGACCATTTTTGGTAAATTCTGCAAAATGGCCGCGATACTTTTCTAATTCATATTTTAGTAATTTGATCGGTGTCATATTTTAACAGTGTATTTTATTGACAAAAGTATGTTTAGAAGACTATTTGAACGACTAAATACTAATTCTCATAAAAATAATTGATTTCCTCATTACCAGTATATATTAGAGATAAAAGCCTTCTGGTATTCTACAGTATGCCATTTAGTTTCAGCGATATTAAAGAATCTATACATATAATAAAAGTGTAACCGATCGCTTTCTGTACATGGAAGATATTTGAGAAAAACGATCATTGGGAGTATTTATTTACGCAATAGAACCCAAAACAATGATTCTTAGAATTTTTATCTGTTTGTCGGTTTGTCTGTGCGTTTGTGAGCGCTAATGTCAGAAACGGCTTAACCGATTTGGATGCAGTTTTCACTAATATATTGTGGTAAGCATCACTTATAGTATTTATTTTATTTCAATCGGTTCATAAATAAAAAAGTTACGTCAATGTGAAGAATCATGTAAATAATACATTGTGATATGCGCATAAACTTATTTAGGGTCTCTATTATACTATGTATATACTATATAGACTATACATAGATGTCTGTATGCTCAACGCAAAGCCAGTCGATAAAAGTTAATCTTTTTAGTCTATACGAGTAGCTTTAAATAAAAAATTTAAATTTTTAATCATAGGAATTCAACTGTTTTAGAAACATATCTATATTTTAATACTTCTAGAACAAGCATCGGTGGTTCAGTGGTAGAATGCTCGCCTGCCACGCGGGCGGCCCGGGTTCGATTCCCGGCCGATGCAATCTTTTTTTTTTTCATTATTTATATGATATCCATACTAATGTTATAAATGTGAAAGTGTGTTTGTTTGTTTGTCTTTCCTTCACGTCGAAACAGCTTGGCGGATTGACGTGATTTTGTGTTATGAAAATTACTTTGTCAAAGTAGACAATCATGTGTCAACGCGGCTTTATGGCAACAATCGTAATTAGTTGAGTATACGTATAGTGATACCGCATTATCTTTATTTGAATTTCATTACCTGCAAAGTCTAGTTTCTTGTTCTCTATCTTTTGCTCGTGCTGTTATTTTTATTATAAGCACATATAATAAAGCATTAAAAATGTAAGTTTGTTTGTTCATTACAAATAGACGGTTTTTTTTACAGAATTTGATATTAGATAATAATTGACAGTTATTAACATATTTTTAATGCGAGAGGTAACAAGTCATAGTCTACCACGTTGGCTAAATGCGGGTTGGCGGACTTCACATGTCTTTCGAAAACTTGCTAGGAAACTCAGAAACTCAGGTTTCCTCACGATGTTTTTGATTCAAAGTAAGACAAGTGGTAATCATGTTGAAAAAATGATTCGCACATGAAAATATCAGAGGTGCAAGACCAGGGATTTGAACTCGTATCACTTGGTTTCCAAAACGAGTGCGCTACCATTGGACTACCACTGTCTGTAATGTTGCGTAAATCATCGGGCTTTTGACCAAACGTAAAATGATGTATTATAGACAGTATTATGTGATAATGGAAGTGACAAAAGAAATTCTCAAATTTGTCTGGTAGTTTAAAAAATAGGACCCTCATATGAACGTAATAAAATATCAAAAATCAGATTTTTTAATAGGTGACACATTGACAGAGACCTAAAGAAGGTCCAGTCTACATCAGAGATTCTCTATTTAGGTCCAACTAAACATTCTCAAACTCACGAATCACCTTACTACGAGTTTTAGATTCTCATTAAAAATAGCACAATCTAGCCGTTCCACAAATTATCTCTCTAGAAAAATACCAAGTCAATCCCTTGCTGAGGGCAAGAAGGAAAAACTAACAAGCTCTAGCATTTCTTTTAGTAAGAATATTCTATTTACTTTTTTATATTATAAACTAGCGACTCACACTCGCTTCGCCTAACGCGTACATTTTAACGGTTAGTATGGAATAGAAGAATTCTTCGGATAACCTTAGTATAACATATATGAAAACCTTATAAAAGTTAAAAAAATAGCTATCATTGAGCTTTTTTTTATCTCTCTACAACTATTTCTTAGAAAGTTAAAGTCAAAAATAGGTTTTTTATTTTTCCTGCAAAATGGTGTTTTTGCAGTTATCATTTTATTCTCCGGGGGCGGCGATAATTCCTACTAGGGATTATAAATAGATATGCGATATATTAGTTAGTGCCCGCAACCCTGCCCCCATCATCTGATGAGGAAAAAGTAAGGTAAATTGTCCAAAATCAATTTGCGGCGCAAGCACACGCAAAGGTCGGTCTTCGACCATATTTTTCAACAACTAACTCGCTTCACACGCGTTAAAAGGCATCACAGTCTATGCCGATGCGCATCGAGAGTCGGAGATCGAGAGAGGAATGGGACAGAGGCATAGAAATTAATTGTTACAATCAAATTATATTTCGATTTACTTAGTACCGAGAAATTTATTTTGAATCAGCGCAACCACGACGTATGTACAAAATATAGCCTATTTCAATCTCCATAATGCAAATGACAATATATTCTCAAACTTTATCAAAATCTGCTTATCGATTAGGTTTGAAAAGAAAATAAACAGATAACAATTTTTTAAAGTCTGAAACTCCTTTCTAAATCTTTTGAAGTGATCTTAAAAATGTTTCGTCTATTTTTCTAACATAATATTTGTATTCAGATATCATAATCATTATAACACCCTATAATAAAACTTTTTAAACGTTTTGTAATCCTCTCATTGTTGCTTCGGATAGTAGCTTTCTTTAGTTAAATGATATTGCTTGTGTCAGCTGGTATTATTATTATATATATTACTTACATAATAAAGGACCATGTCTCCAGACATAAAGCAGGTTTGTAAAATTTTTATTTATATAAATAGATAACTATTAATTTACAATCATATACGGCTTATATTCTCACGAAGTATTATTCCGGCATTATTTTTTAAATTATTAATTCATCTTAAATTCTATAATTAATTCCTATAATCGGTATTAAATGGCACATTCTCTTTTAGAAATTTCTGTAGTTCAAGAACTTTTAAACAGAGCTGCTACGTAGATTTTTTTATTTAAAGGAGGAGGAGGTTTTGTTACTTTGTTTGTAGTGTAACAAAAACAGCAAGGTCTTTTGGGATTTCAGAATATTCACGTTCTATTCATCTTTAAAAAGTATCTCGGTTCATTACAAGATCACAAGTAAACAAAAAACTTCTAGTAATAATGAAAAAATGACTAATATTTTGTTAACAAATTAACAATCAATATAAAACAAATGAACAAAATAAATAATAAAATAATGTTGGTCCGGGATGAACTCCGAAACTAGTTATCCGATCTTAGCGTAATTTTTTCAAAATGTGTGAGTTGTTCCAAATAAAAGATAGTTTTTATCCCGCCTTCCTATTTTTATTGCAAAATTAAAGATTTTCATATATACATATGTATAGCAACGCGGGGACGGGTCTGCTAGTTATAATATATAATAATGTAATAGTTTTATCCTATTAAAGTAAGTAGTGTTTAGTATCCACTCGCGCAACAGTTCATTTGGCTTATAACACCCTAAATATTCAAAATATACCTAAGAAAATCTTTAATGCCAAGCCTTATTGCTCTATGACTTCTATCAAGACAATGTACATATGATTGAGTGAAGCTTTTCTATAATAAACTTACCTACCTTTTTTTAATATTAGGAAATACATTTACGCATACCACCTGCATACATACAGGTGGTTATGTGGAACCATGAACGAATTAGCCACTTCATGTCTGGAACTTACCGGCTAGAGAAGCTAGTACTACCCACTAACACTCAACAAAACATTCCCCGTCTTATAGGGCTTCGCTTACGGACTCAACCACGACGCCCCGACGGCAGGTCTGCCGAAACAGATCACACAACCAAGGGCTTGCTCCCACGGTCCGCTCTGCTGTAAGAGATACTTCTCTCCTGGTACTGTAGGAGCAAATGATATGGTACACCACCCACAGAAGTGGGCCGCCTCCCAGTGCGCTTCTACTTTCTTCGCTTAAAGGCCGGATGGTCGGAACAAATGAATTGTACCACCATCTATCTGACCTATCTTATCCTACCATAATAATATCACTACATATTATAAAACAAAGTCCTCAGCCGCGTCTGTCTGTCTGTTCCCGGTAAACTCGAGAACTACTGCACCGATATTCATGCTGTTTTCATCAATGGATAGAGTGGTTGTCGGTGAAGGTTTTAGTATATAATTTGTTAAGTTTTTGTATAAATTGGCTAAAATATAACGTCGGAATAAAGGTGTCGGAAATAAATAAGCCGTCTGGGAGTTTCAACGAAAACGCTGCCTAAATCCGTTGATATATAACAAAATAATGTATGGTGGAATTGTGTATCTTATATAGGTCTACATAAAAGTCCACAATGGCATATGTCTATCTCTTAAGGATAACATACTATATCCATTTTAATACTTTAAAAAATTGGCAATTATACCTAATAAGGTAATGTAAAAGCTATTAAATTTACATAAACACGGGATTAATCCTTATCATTCAAATAAGTTAGAACATTACTTTACTCTTTTACATCATATAATTTAAATGAATATTTAATCAGTAATCGCAGAAAAATTACGGACGCGAGAATAAAATTCAAGCGCCCGCACCGTCTTGCCTACTGTTTAGCTAATAAGCCGAACGATAACGCGCGTGTGATCTTTACATAGCATGAAATGAAGTTGTTTCCGCTGTCTGTTCACTTAGATCTTTTAAACTACTAAACAGATTTTACTGCAGTTTTCAGCAATAGATAGAGTGATTTAAGGGGAAGGTTTACATGTATAATACATGCATATTATATTACAGAAAAGCGGAGAAATTCAAATATTTGTATTTCACACTAACCATTAAAACGTACCTAAAGGGACGAACCCGAGCGAAGCGAGGGTGAGTCGTTAGTGTTATTATAAATTTTATACCTATAGCTTCAATAAATAGAAAATATTTTCAGTACATGTAAATATATTGTTCGATTTTAGACATGGACGGTGATGGGTGTGCTTCTCAATATGTTTGGACAAGGCTTGGTCCTCAGTTATCCTTCGGTGCTGTTGCCGGCGCTACTCAAACCTGAATCGGACATCAAAGTGGATCTCTACACAGCTTCCTGGGTAGGTACGTATTTTAATTTTCTTAAATAATCAAGAAGATTAATATAATCCTGTCCCAATTTCCATAGAGTACCTGATTTTTCAGAATAGACATCTATATAGATAAACTTAGAAAGCAAAACCTTAACTAAATACAAAATGTAAACCTAATCGTTAGAGCCGTTTCTGATTTTCGTACAAAATTTCTATAGATGTAACTTAATCCTAAATATCCAATTTTTTCGCGTAAATTTACCATTTTTCCTCCTTACTTACTCGGACTATTACTTAACAATAAATAGCAAATCATTTTTATTTTTTATTTATTTAATTTTTTTATTATTTATTCAAAATCCTTAGTGAAATGAAAGTTCCATATCCCTCATACATAAAGTTTAGAAAAATATTAAAGATACAACTTTGCTCTTGTTGCGTATAAATGTTATATGTTGACAAAAATGTATTGCTTGTATTATATATTGCAGTAATATTCATATTACCTAAAAAAATTATAAGTACTTGCATCGGCCGGGAATCGAACCCGGGCCGCCCGCGTGGCAGGCGAGCATTTTACCACTGAATCACCGATGCTTATATTAATTCAGTGTAATAACATATTATATAGTATCAAATACTAATTAACTTAAAACAGTATAACTTAATTAGAACACAGTTGTACAAATAAAATTACTTTTTCACTAATTGTAAGAAGGCACACAGACTTTATTAACTAGCGACTCACACTCGCTTCGCTTGGATTCGTCCCTAGCTTGCTTCCCAATACAAACTTTCATCCCCATTTCCACCCCCTTCAGGGATGATTGCCGGGATAAAAAATATCCTATGTCTTTTTCAGGGTCTGAAACTATCTTCTTACCAAATTTCCTCTAAATCGGTTCAGTACATCCAGAGATTACCCCCTACAGACTCATAATATCACAAACTTTACCTCTTTATAATATTAGTATAGATAATACAAAAAAGCAAACAAAATTAGGGAGAGCCCTTCCCCTCTTTTAAAGTTGGTAAATGCTACTAAAAATATTATATAGTAAAGATATACACATGACTTTCTTTATTTTGCTAGAATTAGGTATATAACTTTGAAGCTATAATTTTATAGTGATTATAGAAAACTAACAGTTATATATTGTTACAGCATCCATTATCGGCATCGCGGGAATTCCTGGCTTTGTGACATCTTCTCTTCTCATGGACATCTATGGACGAAAGTTGGCTCACGCAGTTGTCGTGGTGCCAGCGATAGTTAACTGGTTTCTTATATACAGTGCTACTAATGTTCCCGTACTCTTGATTGGTCGGGCTCTAGGTGGTATGGCTGCCGGGGCCACAGTGTCCTTAGGCGCCATTGTCATAGGAGAGTACACGAGTCCTAGAAATAGGGGAATGTTCTTGAATCTCCAAACTACTGCGGTATGCATTGGGTATATGGCCGTTCATATTTTTGGGCACTTTTACACTTGGAAAACTATAGCTCTGATAGCTGTTATACCTCACATAGCTGCCTTATTAATCATATGTACTTGGCCAGAAAGTCCATCCTGGTTAGTTGCACAAAAGCGATTTGAAGAGAGCAAAAAGTCCTTCTACTGGCTACGAGGACAATCCGAAGAGGCAACTTTAGAAATAGAAGAGCTCATAAGAGCTCAAAAAGAAAAAGTCGAATATTCGGTGTCGTCATCATCAATATTCTCAATGTTTGTAGAATTTCTAAAGAAATTTACAAAAAGAGACTTTTTAAAACCATTACTTATAGTCGTTTTTTGTGGACTTCTTTTGGAATCCTGTGGAAGGCATATATTCCCAGCTTACGCTATTCAAATCATCGAAGAGGTCACCGGCAACAAAACCCAATCTTTCTATTACACTTTGGGTATAGATTTGATAATAACTGCGAGTGCATTATTTTCGTCTGTTCTTGTTAAACTGATGAAAAGGAGAACCCTTCTTTTAAGCACCGGTTTTGCAGCATTATTTGTTTTAATGTGTGTATGTTTGTATCTTTACTTATCATCAGCGGCTATTATTTCAAAGGATAACACATGGATACCTATTAGCTTGTTTGCTATTTACTTTATATTAGCTAACTTAGGATGTACTCCAATACCATTAGCTTTGTTGGGAGAAGTTTTCCCTCTTGCCCATAGAGGAGCTGGATCTTCTGCGGGAGGTTTCCTATTGTCAATTTACGTGATGGCTGGCTTGCAAGTTACACCGTTTTTATTAGTTAGCCTAAAAGTATACGGAACGTTTGCTGTTTTTGGGTCACTAATGGGAGTGGCTCTAGTTGCTTTGTATTTCATTCTCCCAGAGACAAAAGATAAAACTTTACAACAGATTGAAGATTATTTCAACTTTGGAAGGTTCAAAGAAGAAAGAGTTGATAGAGACGAAGAAGCTAAAATGCAAATGATGCCTAAATAATTGATTTGTGATAATAGGTTTTTGATTGTCTTGTAGAATAAGATATTTTATAATAGTTTCGAATATAAATATAGAAATAAGGGTAATTGATAATAAAAAAAATATTTTTTTTATTATTTCTTTAAAATTATACGAAGATATGTTGTATCTGCCTACTTATAATTAATATAACCTTTAAATACAAAGCTAATTTATAAAGCCCTAAAGTCCGTGGCTCTGCCGTATGGTAAGCTGAGTGAGGTTATAAGGTAGCCGAAGTCTGTTTTAGGATTAACCTAATTGACAAATTTCATCAAAATCTACTAAATGACACAGAACAATTATGTGGCTTAAATAATTAATATTTTTTTCTTTATGATTATAAATATAATAATGGCAACACTAAATATAAATTACTAATTAATATATTTAAAAAAAATAATGTAACAATTATAATCATATTCAATTATAAAACTAATTAAAATTATAAAAATGTTTAAACTTAAAAAATATTGTAAGGTACTTTGGTGCCATTGTTCAATTTTTTGAATTCATTTTGTTATTTGTGGGTCGGCTGTCTGTAACAACTATATAATATTACCTTTGAGACATCTAAGACCTTAGTCCATGACCATGATTGCTGTAAAGCATTCGAAACGTCGGGAACCAAAAATCTAAATAAATCCACGAAAAAATTCGAAAAGATAGTTTTAAACAAAAATATAAGCTACGAAAGACAGTGCAATAAGAAGAGGGTTTTTGATACCGTAATTACAAATCGGAAATATTTTAAGACTTTCGAGTATTAAATCAAAAATTATATATTAAAATTGTCATACATTTAGTACGATTTTTTGTGTAAGGATCGGTGAAAATTTTAATTTTTTAAAGTTATTGTACCGTAGAAAAAATATGTTAACATACATTTTTTCAAACAAAACACTTTCCTACTCGATTCAAAAAAGCATTAAGGGCGTCGTCCAAACATGTTTAAACTTACTTGACTGCGGCGAAGCCAGGCGGAGGGACGTATGTACAAACATACATATTTTATACATATATTGCTACGTCTTTGTATGTCCGACTGCAGAATACTATGTCACATCGTCGACTTGTTTACATCTTTTTAGTTCGCTGTATGCGCAGTCGAGTTTTTTTTTATTTTTGTATATTAATAATTGAATATTGAGTACAATTGTGAATTTATAGGAGGAACTTCCGGCCGTTAGAATCAGATAAATATTTATTATTTATTCATTTATACTTAATATAATAAAACTGCAGAGGTTGAATGTCTGTACATAGAAAAAAAATGTTAAAAACCGAGTCAGAGGGATGTAGGAAGAGAAATAGAACAAATCCAGATTTTTTCATTTTTTTTGTTTCTCTATCTGTTTGTCTGTTTGTACGGGCTAATCTGCGAAACTGTTGGACCTATTTAAATGAAATTTTGCATGGCGTTACCTTATATTCCCGGTCAACATTTTAGATACTTTTTATCCCGTAAATATTAAAGAATGCCCGTGGGATAGTTAAAAACTACAGTAACTTATACAGCTTCGTACACAAAAACTACTAATTGGATTTTAATGAAACTTTACAATAATATAGTTCATACATCAGAATAACAAATAGGCTATGTACTTTTTATATATATAATAGATGTGTTTTTGTCTGTCTAGAGACGAACCCAAGCGAAGCGATGGTGAGCCGCTAGTTTTATTGTATTATTATATAAAACTATGATTAACCTAAACCTAGATATTATCTAAGCAAACATCATAATATTATTATTTGTTAACAGGAAAATACCATACAAGAGTAAAATTTTCTATCGATATTACTTAAGTAATAACAGTATTTTTTTTAATATATATTACATACTATTGTGAAACTTTTTCAAACCTTGTGGCACACTTTAGTGATGATAATTGTTTGAGAAACCTGAAATTATCATACATTCTTTATTTATAATATTTGACTGATGACTTCAATGAACTCGCAAATTAAAGATAAGATTACGAAGTTCATTCACTGATATTTTTTGGAAAATCTTCTTCAAATAGTCATTATTGTTGATACAGAGGCCGACTCTATAGTTTTTAGAATTTCACGGATTTTGATGAAATTTGATATGGTGATAGCTGATAATTCGGGTCAACATTTAGGATACTTTTTACTGCGGGAAAATGTCTAATCTCTGAGGAATCTATACTAACCTTAAAACGTAAACGTACCTGAACGGAGCGAGGGTGAGTCGCTAGTATGTAGGTAATAACAATCTTGTAGGGCAAGTAGTTTTACTCATGTATTAATTACATTTTTCTAGAGTTTTTTGATAGAATACGTGAGTAGAACTGCGATATCGTACGAGTTCAAAACAATAAATATTAATTTAAACTAAAACGCAATGTCATTAATACGATTTGCTCTTTAACATGCAGATAATGTACCAAGGATATCTTTTAAAGTATCATGGCATTCACCTATATTCTATATATTATAGTGATTAATTAGTTCATGATTATAACGTATCAATTGAGCATCAAATACATTGACATAATATTTTATATGAGTAAGTATAATTTATTCATTTCCTTCCTTGTAAAATGATCTATCATTTTAATAAGCGATGAAAATTTTAGTCGGTTTTTTAATTTAAATTTACAATTATTTTGTAATTGCTGAAAATTAAAATACAAATGAAAATGAAGTAAAATATTTCATTGAAATTTATATCGAGTCATCCTTGAAGCCCTTTAAAAAAATATAAAAATCATATAAAGCTATTGAAGAGTACACAAAAACACTCAAATTCACGTAGTACCTCCTCTCTTTTGAAGTGGATAAATGAAAAATGACCGAGATGTTAAGGAACATACAAACATATATTGCACATTATTATAATTATTGTTTATTTATCAACATATACTGTAGTGATGGATGTAACTGTGCACACGACGTTTCATTGAATTAGGTCAAGTTCACATTTAACGACGTTATTGTTTGTATAAATGTAAGAATTTATTGTTGCTATAATTATAAATGCAACAGTGTATGTGTGACTGTTTGTTGCATTTTACGAGTAAGTAAGAGCTCTAATTTTAATTTGTTTTTCCGAGTATATATATTACGTGCCGATGACCGACATGCGCTTCTCGCTTACACTTTGAAAAGAAAAAAATATCAATTACCCTAGAGTACTGAATACTGATGTAATTTTTATTATATTTATAACATACCGTAAACATGGCATCCCGTACCAAATGCTATACTATCCTCCACAAAGAATACCTGAGAGCGGATCACTAAATAACAACACAACTGATCTCAAAGCTCCAAACAATGCCATGATTACTCAGTGCTCATCTAGCCTAAATAATATAATTCCATAAAATTCTTTAATTCTCAAATCTGAACGCGAGAAAAAGTTTTAATTTTTTTTAATAAACGAAATAAAGATGTTGGTTATCAAGAAACGTGCGGTAGATGTGAAACATCTATCTTAATATTAGAATTCATAATTAATAAAATCCTATAACAAAATATGGAGTTTGATAAAGAAAAAATTTAAGAATTTCGTTAATGAAATCAACTTATTTTTCTAATTTTTTATTTATTTATTTATTTTAGCGGTAGCGTATAAGGGGCGTCATGCCACGTTTGCCGTCATACCACGAGTACATTTTACTGCCAAGGCGACAATAGATGTCTCACATCAAAAGGCAAGGACAAAAAGTCTGTGATGTTCGTATACTTAAAAAACCTGCAAACGTCAGGGAATACATATACAAATTACAGTAAGCCACAATTGCAAACTGTATAGCTTATATAGCTGGGGATGAAAGTGTCAGTTGGAAAGTGCATTGACGTAATTCCATCTCCTTTGTTTCTACTTGTTATTTATTTTATATGCGTGGAGATTCAAGTTTTGTAGAGCTTGGGCTTGGGCTTAGTCTATAGATACGTACTATGTGTATATGTGTATAATGTATATGGACAAACATACGTTTGCATGATCAATACTCCGAGTATTGATCCGTGTACACAACATTCGAGTAACTCAAGAAGTATATAACGTGGCTATACTGCCTCCATAGGCAAATTGATTTAAGAGAAAACAAAAATAATAGGGGAATTTATATGACTACAAAAGTTAGCGTCTAAATATTGCTTATACTTTTATTCCTTGTCTATTAGCGATAACGGTTAACAATGTCGATATATGTAAGATCTCTGATTAGGTATCTACTTGAATTTCTAACTGGCTTTTCTCAGCAGAACTGCTTTCCGAGACGGTGATAGCTTCCTCATAGACTGACTACACTGTCTTTAAATTAAATTCATGATTAAAATGTGCTTGTAAAAGTCTATTTGAATAAAGTATATTTTGATTTATGTAAATCTAATTGAAAGTTTATTTTTATTTCCTTTTGATCTTTCTTGTAAGAGAGTAGCGATTTATAATTCTAAAAAGTGATCCAGGTTCTGAGTAGGTAAAGCCAAAGTTAAATAGTATTTTCATATGTATTAAACATATAAAATAAATTAAAAGAAGAATTAATAACTATTTCTGTACACGTAACTTCACTTTCGATGACTGCTTTGTTTACTGCACCTTGCATCTAAATGTAGAACAGTGTTGCCAACAGAATGCAATCCAATTGAAGCAAATCTGTAAAATCGAAGGTCATAAGGGTCTGCTCGCACGTGAGTTTTAAGAAATAATATTTACAATGTACAAAAAATATTTGATTAATAAAAAAGTAAGACCTCGTACGTGCCTTTATTTCTCACCAGGAAAATCTGCGACACGTAAAATCAATGAGCGAATAAAAGGAGGTCATAATATGAGTTATTTTATATCAATTTATCTTCTCATAAGTACAACTAAGAATATTGTTTCTTGTTTAAAATTGACTTTATTATAAAAAATCGGTGAAGTGCTAGTCGAAGTCACACATGAAGGGTTCCGTTTCATAATAGATTTTTTTTAATTTGCATGACAGCTTTTTTTT